AGTGGCAGACATCATGAGGTAGCAGTGGCAGACAACATGAAGCAGCCTTCATGAGGTAGCAGTGGCAGACAACATGAAGCTACAGTGGCAGACATCATGAGGTAGCAGTGGCAGACAACATGAAGCTACAGTGGCAGACATCATGAGGTAGCAGTGGCAGACAACATAAGCAGCTGGCAGACATCATGAGGTAGCAGTGGCAGACAACATGAAGCAGCAGTGGCAGACATCATGAGGTAGCAGTGGCAGACAACATGAAGCAGCAGTGGCAGACATCATGAGGTAGCAGTGGCAGACAACATGAAGCAGCAGTGGCAGACATCATGAGCTAGCAGTGGCAGACAACATGAAGCAGCAGTGGCAGACATCATGAGGTAGCAGTGGCAGACAACATGAAGCAGCAGTGGCAGAGATCATGAGGTAGCAGTGGCAGACATGAAGCAGCAGTGACAGACATCATGAGGTAGCAGTGGCAGACAACATGAAGCAGCAGTGGCAGACATCATGAGGTAGCAGTGGCAGACAACATGAAGCAGCAGTGGCAGACATCATGAGGTAGCAGTGGCAGACAACATGAAGCAGCAGTGGCAGACATCATGAGGTAGCAGTGGCAGACAACATGAAGCAGCAGTGGCAGTGTAGCATTAAGAGTGTAGCAAATAGGTGTAGCATTAAAAGTGTAGCAATTAAGTGAAGCATTAAGAGTGTAGCAATAAAGTGAAGCATTTAGAGTGTAGCACTTATAAGTCACTCTGACTTTTTTGGGTTATCCTAGGTTCTCTACACATGTAGCCAGGAGCAGGAATGGCCACTGTAGTGGCCCTATAAACCCCAACAAGAACAATGGCTGCCGTTACCACCACTAGCCACATACCTATACCTACATTGATATTATTTTATTCATTTAGTATTATATCATGTTTCTATGTACAGTGGACCCCCGCATAACGATCACCTCCAAATGCGACCAATTATGTAAGTGTATTTATGTAAGTGCGTTTGTATGTGTATGTTTGGGGGTCTGAAATTGACTAATCTATCACAATATTCCTTATGGAAAAATTCGGTCAGTACTGGCACCATGATAGATATGGATGAAAAAAGTTCGTTAACCGGGTCCACTGTAATTAGATATTATTTTTGTATTACATAAATTGTGATATGCATTATGGATTTGGAAAAGGCGTATGACAGGGTGGATAGGGGGCAATGTGGCAATGTTGCAGGTGTTGGTGTAGGAGGTGGATTACTGAAAAGATGAAGAGTTTAACGAGGATGGGGCTCAAGTTAGAGTATGTAGAAAGAGGGAAATTATTTCCCAGAAAGTAGGCTTAGACAAGGATGTGTGATGTCACGTGGTTGTTTAATATATTTATAGATGGGGTTGTAAGAGAAGTAAATCGAGGGTCTTGGCAAAAGGGTGGAATTATAAGATAAAAGATACAGCATAAAGGGAGTTGTCACAGTTGCTCTTTGTTGATGACACGGTGCTCTTGGGAGATTCGAAGAGAAGTTGCAGAGATTGGTGGATGAATTTGGTAGGGTGCAAAAGAAGAAATTAAAAATGAATCAGGGAAAGAGTAAGGTAATAGGATAACAAAAAGATTAGGTATGAGATTGGATATCAGATTGGAGGGAGAGAGTATGGAGAGGTGAATGTATTCAGATATTTGGGAGTGGACTGGTCAGCGGATGGTTATGAAGAATGGGTGAATCATAGAATTGATGGGGAAAAGGTGAGTGTGCACATTAGGATGCTGTGGAGACAAAGAACTTTGTCCTTGGGGAAAGAGGGGAATGATTGAGAGGTATAATTTTACCAAGCTCGTTATATGGTGTGAAGCATGGGTGATAATGTTGCAGCTGAGAGACGCTGAGAGGCAATGGAGATGTCATGTCTAGGGCAATGTGTGGTGGAATAATGCAGAGAATTCGTAGTTTGGAAGTTAGGAGGTGCGGGATTACCAAAACTGTTGTCCAGAGGGCTGAGGAAGGGTTGTTGAGGTGGTTCGGACATGTAGAGAGAATGGAGAGAAACAGAGTGACTTCAAGAGTGCATCAGTCTGTAGTGGAAGGAAGGCGGGGTAGGGGTCGGCCTAGGAAAGGTTGGAGGTAGGGGGTAAAGGAGGTTTTGTGTGTGAGGGGCTTGGACTTCCAGCAGGCATGCGTGAGCGTATTTGATAGGAGTGAATGGAGACAAATGGTTTTTAATACTTGACGTGCTGTTGGAGTGTGAGCAAAGTAACATTTACGAAGGGGTTCAGGGAAACCGGCAGGCCGGACTTGAGTCCTGGAAATAGGAAGTACAGTGCTTGCACTCTGAAGGACGGGTGTTAATGTTGCAGTTTAAAAACTGTAGTGTAAAGCACCCTTCTGGCAAGACAGTGATGGAGTGAATGATGGTGAAAGTTTTTCTTTTTCGGGCCACCCTGCCTTGGTGGGAATCGGCCAGTGTGATAATAATAAAAAAATAGATAAATAAGCTGTAGAGATGATATTAGGGAAATTATTAAAGTATTTTCTCGTGCCTGGAAATCCACTGGAACGAATTAATTCCATTTCAATTAATTTAAATAAGGAAAATTGACTCTGCAAACGAGCAAATCCAGTTGCGAGCAAGGTCATGGAACGGATTAAACTCGTAAGTAGAGGTTCCACTGTGTATATGTAATATCAGAGTACATATAGAATAGGTTGGTAAACAGCAACCGCCCAGGGAGGTACTACCGTCCTGCCAAGTGAGTGTACAACGAAAGCCTGTAATTGTTTTACATGATAGTAGGATTGCTGGTGTCTTTTGTCTGTTTCATAAACATGCAAGATTTCAGGTATGTCTTGCTACTTCTACTTGCACTTAGGTCACACTACACATGTTCAAGCATATATATATATACACACCCCTCTGGGTATTCTATTTTCTTTCTAGTTCTTGTTCTTGTTTATTTCCTCTTATCTCCATGGGGAAGTGGAACAGAATTCTTCCTCCGTAAGCCATGCGTGTTGTAAGAGGAGACTAAAATGCCAGGAGCAAGGGGCTAGTAACCCCTTCTCCCGTATAAATTACTAAATTTAAAAGAGAAACTTTCGTTTTTCTTTTTGGGCCACCCTGCCTTGGTGGGATATGGCCGGTGTGTTGAAAGAAAGAATATAGAATATACAATAACCTTAAAACACTTGAAATTTTGGAAAGTTTCCAGACATAATAGAGATGTGCTCACAAAGAATGTAAACAAACCAGGTGGGGAGAGGTGACTGTATTAGAAAGACAGGTGGGGGGAGCCATATAGTGAGTTTTGATATAATTTAAAACAGCCGTGTTATCGGAACGCCATAAAGTGGGGCCCTACTGTACCTACCTACACCTACTGGCTACCTACAAATAGTGTTCACCTCTCGCCCTACATTCAGACTACAAATATTTTAAGGTAAGTAATGAATGTGCTGTGTATGTATTTTACATTTGCTTTTTAATGCCTAGTTCTACTGCTAGCTTAATATATGTTAATATACACTTGTTATCTGGCATTTGTATGCATTTATAAGTGGAAAATATGGCGTTCTGCTTTCCGGTAGTAGCCTGGAACCTGACCAGCCATATAAGTGGGGCCCTACTCTATTGTCACATGGGAAAGGGTGTCTGATAGCGGTGTTCTCCATCTTCATACAGCCTTGGTTCTATCTGAACTTGATTATGGGATCAGGTGTATTCATCCGCTATAAGTTTTCTCTCTAAGTTTGATGCTATCCATAAAAGGTCTCTCGTTTATTTCCAGTCAAAAGCATTATGTTGACTCTAATGATCATTGCAAGACTGTCAAGATAATGTCCATTTTGTATGGCTTGCTTTCATGACCTTGTGACCCATAGAATAATCATAAACAGTAAAGCTGACACTTTATCATCCCCTTTTAATCTTCACCTTCAGACTCGATCTACCTCCCTTTCTGCTCACCCTGTTCATTTCTTTTATGTTTCACCTTGGGAAGTACTGATGTGTGTGTTTTTTGAAGTCTTGTATCACTGCTTCTGTGGACATGCCCTTTCTATTCCTTGACTGTTTTCATTTGCTCCCATACCACTGCTGTGTACATAAATAGTTCTCATTCCTCTGGTGTAGTATATACAGTTTGTCCAGATTGTGATACAGCAATGCTTACTGGATTTGGCTAGTATGTTTTGCAGTAGTTTTATACACTTTTTGCCGCCATCATCCACATTTCTTCTCTTAGTCCTACTATTATTGCTGTCCATCTCTTGAGTACATTAAAAACTCTTTAGAGCTTTGACTCCTTGCATCCCCATTATCTGTCATATTCAACAATTGCTGTGTTGCCTTCTCAGCAAGCATAATCTTGCTGGGTCTCTGGTCACTTTTGGTGTCCAGGGCAATGACCTGTGCATATTCCACAGCCCAAGCCCTATCCTCTACTTTGTTTTCTAGTTTTGTCTGAGAGCATATAGAATCAATGGCAGTGTTACTGGTCCAAGTTAGAGAAGCTGTCCTTGATAGATTTTTTCATCACTATCACATTTGGGAAATAGTTCTAACATAACTCAAATTTTTAATGAGAATGTGCTTTGTGCACCAACTCTTGACTTCCCTCTTTTGCATAGCTATCCATCCATGATTCTATCCCTCGAGGGAGATTCCCTGATGCTTGTGATGGGCTACTGATCCAAGGACTTTGACTTGTCCTCCACTTCTTTGAATTAAACCTGATTATCTCCTATTTGCTAGGTGCTGAATGGCCCCTATAGGTTTTGTACTTACCCATTTTAAAATGTAATCCATAATTTTTCCATCAAGATACCATTTTTCCATGCAGCACTGAATGAGCCATATGAATTTAACTCTGATAATTATAATCAATGTAGCCACTCTCAAGGCTGAGTAAATCTTTAGAACGAGGCAAAGTAAATAAAAGGGTGACCTGTATACACATCACAAAATCTTAAGTCACAGGAGAATTCTGAAACAAGATGGAAAGAAAAGGACCAGCAAACAGCATTTTTTTTATTATAGATATTCAGATTTCTTTTTCCCCAACACCTAACACTACACCTCTCATGCCATTCATGAGGATGTCTTTCAACACAGCCATGTGTTAGTTTTACCACCTAACACCATAACTCACATGCCATTTTTTTTAACACAGCCATGTGTTAGTTTTAATCCCAACCGAGGGACATATATATACATTATATAAATCTGGGTATGTTGGTCATTGCCTGCTTACCCTCTGCTGTGAGCAGGTCAATCTTACTGTACTTCATCAGCTATGAATAACTGCTTCACCACAATAGGTCATCAGCTATGTATAACTGCTTCACCATACAATGTAATCAGCTATGTATAACCATAGCTGCCAATGTTCCTCTAATGTATCATGTGATATAATATATAATGAGCTTAATTCAAGCCTTTAAACATTTTTTTTTAAAGCTCATAATCACAAATTAGTTTTTAAATCACTTCATATTTTGAGGTAACAAATATGTATATATACTGAACCTCAAAATTTTATCACTATGATATAAACAATTGACTGAAGGCATGACGGAATACGAAAAAATAGAAATACAGCTGTTAAAAAAAAATTGTTTCAGAGGCTACCTTGATGACCATATTGTACAGAACATTAGGTGCAGCCATCAAAGATACAAGAGCGGTACTGCCATTATAACAAAAGTGGCAACATAAGAGTTGCTCTTTATCAGACCATTCAACCAAATAAAATTAATTTCCTTCACCACTAGTCCCTCTGGATTATCACATTTGATTCATTATTTCCTGAACAAAATAAGCAGCTTTGAAATTAGCCCCCACAAAATGCACTAAAATTCCATGCACATGTGCTATGAGAGGAATGTTTAAAAATAATTCATGATGAATTATCTCACTGGTAGGTTAACAGTAAATTTTTCACAATTGTAGAAAGAGCTTCCATTGTAAGACTGAACTAGCAGAGAAATCGTGTTCTGGCTCGTCTCGTGATAACCCGAGACACTAGTATGTCTGGAGGAATAAGCTAAGTTGTGTAATTATTTTATCAACTTCGCAATCCTCATGCTAATGTGATTATAAATGAAGCTCAAAATAACGGGATTACTCAAGATATTTTGCAGTTTAGCACAAATTGTTCACAAAATTAAAAATTTAATCTGAGGTGCAGTCTCACTATTGCTCTGGAAGATGTCAAGACAATAACTTGCTTAGTATTTCTGATAAGTAAACTCAAAAAAAAAAAAAAAAAAACTAATTAGTTAATTTAAGTACATGATATATGATTACTTGTCTTTAACTGCAAATGGTGATAAAGCAGCAATATGCATACACTATGACTGTCATAGCATTAAATATTTATACTTTAATTATTCTATGCATTCTGCCTTTGAATTGATAATTTCTTAGTAATAAAACCAATAATCAACTGTTGAGCCTTAGAAAATAAACCTTGTAAAAATTTGCATGAAGGGCATCAGCTTTCCCCTACCACTTACAACATCATGACTTCAATGTCAAGAAAAATCAATTTTGTTTTGAAAAAGTTACCCCTGACTTAATGAGGTTTGATGGTGGTAGTGAGATGATGCATAGGAAGGCTATTATGAGGAGACTGTACATGGTGATGACAAAGATGACCTGGCCCAGTGACTGAAGAACCAGAATCGACTGCACAACCACGATGGCAGAACTGCTGAAAGCGTTGCCTTAGGGTTTGCCGCAGCTCGGCTCTTTTTTGTTTTACAATTCCCAAACGTGCACGCCATGCTCGCACCTCTGCCTCTGGAATTTCTTCATCTTCACACCTCGAGTCCTGAGTGATGGAAGAAAAAATAATCCATATAATTAAAACAAATTTTATCTTGCTCGGATTAAGCAGTATAGTGTATGAAAAAGTTTTCTCTATTTATTTTCATGCAAGTCATCCATGAAGTTTTCAATTTACTTGCTTTAATATAATTATGTAATCATCCTAGGATCTAAAAAAAAAAAAGTCACAAAACAGAATGATTAACTTAATGAAACCAGACAAACCTCTCCTCCAGTCAACCGATACTGCCAACAAACTTGATGTCTTTTTTTGACCATAGGATCAAAGCTAGCAAGCAAAATTCCAAACTCAAACATTCAACCTAAAGACTACCTCACTGGCAACTACCCAAATACTCTATTTTTATCCCTAACAAATCCTACTGAAATCTCACTCATCATCAAAACACTAAAGAACAAGACAGGTGACCTAAATAACTTACCACCACTCATGTATAAAAAATCTTCTCGTGTATTATCACCAATTATTGCAACCCTGTTTAAGAAATACACTGAATCTTCCACCTTCCCATCCATACTCAAGACAGCAAGGGTCACCCCGATCCTAAAAGGAGGTGATCCTACCGAGTTGAACAACTATAGGCCTACATCAAACTTGCCCCTACTATATAAAATCTTCGAAAAATTAATTCAAATAAAAGTCTACTCCTACTTAGTATCCCACAACATACTCAACCCCTGTCAATTTGGATTCAGACCAAAAAAAAAGTACCAATGATGCAATTATACATATGCTTGAGCTAACACATTCGGCACTCGGAAAAAAACAAATTTCCCCCTGGGACTTTTCATACACTTATGAAAAGCTTTTGGTACAGTTTTGACAGAATCCAGTATGTATACATGTACACAAATAAAGCTAACTCCACTACACAACCAGCTCTTGTTGGAGTCCCACAGAGGAGTGTCCTTGGCCCACTTCTCTTTCTCATTTACATCAATGACCTCCCAAATGCATCTAAACTCCTTAAACCCATTTTATTTGCAGATGACACTACTTATGTCTTCTCTCATCCAAACCCGACCATACTAACACTGTAAATGCCGAACTACTAAAAATATCTACTTGGACGACTACCAACAAACTTACTCTCAATATAGACAAAGCCTATTTTATGCTGTTTGGAAACAGAGCTACAAACGTAGCTAAACATACTGATAAATGGTTCACCCATTTCTAGACATGCACACAGCAAATTTCTAGGTCTCCACCTAGACTGCAATCTCAAATTCCAAACTCACATACAGCAAATATCCAAGAAAGTCTCCAAAACAGTAGACATTCTCTCAAAGATATGGTAGTATGTGCCCCAACCAGCTCTTCTTGCACTATACCACTCACTCATCTACCCTTACCTCACCTATGGTATTTGTGCATGGGGCTCAACCACAGCAAACCACATTAAACCTTTAACCCTTTGACTGTCGCAGGCCCCTTTCTGAAACTGTCATTCTATGTCGCAAAATTTTTGAAAAAAAAAAAAAAAAAAATTTTCTTATGAAATGATAGAGAATCTTTTCCCAAAGGTAATGACACCAAAAGTTCGAAATTTGGTCGAAAACTCACAGAATTACGCTCCCGCGAAGTTAGCAGTCTCAGTGACATACAAATATCGGCGATTTCGCAAACTTTGAGCCCTGTTTTTAGCCAATTCCGTTGTTCCAGTTGACCAAACTCATAGCTATTTCTTTAGAACTCCATTTTATCTATCAGTTGAGTACAAGAAACTGCCCATTTATCGATTTGAACTACCCAATAAAGTGGTCAGAAATTGGCAATTTGGCCAACTTCACGCAAATCAAAAAAGATGCCAATTTCAAAATAGGGTCCAGAATAAACAAGATAGACATTCTTGGCACTAAAATAACATATCCTCTGTTCATTAGTCGCCTCTCTAGGCCCCTCTTGTATTACTATTGCTTTCTATTTTGATTTTTTATTCATACAAAAAAATGTAAAATTTACTGGTATGCAGACTACTGCATTATTTTAAAAATGGTATAAATAATATCAGTGTACTAGTGAAAGAATATTAGACTCCCCAGTTGACATGTATTGGACGTGTGGTGTGATTTGCTTACTCCTGAACATTGGTAAAAATCGAACATTTCCGCTACTTTGAGCTCAGTTTCAAGGTCGTTTTCATCACGAAAGTAATGAAAAATCATCTCTATTTCTGTAATATGTCTTCCATTTTATCACCTAAGACCATGAAAACGAGAATACAATGATAAACACTATACGAAAATACACCTCAGAGTCAGCGTTTTAATCCAAAAAACGGCCAGTTTTTTTTTTCTCATTACGCACTGTGTGCTGCAGGATTTTTTTTTATGTGGTGCACACTGACCACACAGACCCATTCTCTCACATGTGGGCCTACCAGGTTTCTCCTGCTTGATTTGAAGCCGCTAGAATTTATGAGTATACACCTACCATCCAACTTACAACTTGCTCGACTTACGACCACTCGACTTACGACCGTGTTTTTTTTGCCAAATTTCTGGGAAATAAACAACTATTTGTGTTGTACACAGTGTTTATCCTAAACCTTACAGTATAAAGTACAGTACTAACAGCACAAAAAGTAAAACATGAAATACCAAAATAAAACAATAAAATAAAGTCATTACAAAAATGTGATGTTGATATTCAGTAGTAAAGTTCGACTTACGACCAGTTTCTCGGAACCGAACTCAGTCGTAAGTCGGATGGTAGGTGTATATACGTCAGAAACAGTGGCATGCAAGACGTATTTATACGGCATAAACAGTCAAAGGGTTAATAACCCAATAAAAACCTGCAGTGTAATTGATTACAAACTCCTGTAATAGACAGCATACTCCTCAAAACATCAACACTTATGATTGTGCCTACTACATGCACAGAACACTACACTCAAATATAAACCCTCCTCTCAAACTCCTACTTGTTAACTACAACAGAACACACAACCATAATACAAGACACAAATCACTCTTCAATATCCCTCATGTCTATCTCTACCTGTGCAAAAATGCTGTGCATGTAAAGGGCCCGAACATCTGGAATTCATTACCAAAACATACAAAAGGACCCCTACCTGCAAATCAATTTAAGGCCCTACTTAGAAATCTCCTAATCACCCAGAATCAACTAGACAAGCTGTACTTCATACCTACCATATACGCTCAAAAGCAACACAAAAAAGTACCAATGATGTCTAAATTTCAATACTGAATATTGTACTGAAGATTGCTCATCCATATACACTCATTACTTCAAAATCAGGATGTTCAAATTTTATTGTTTTGAATACTAAATTGTAATACTTCATACTGTAAATTGTAATGTTTCAAAATTGTAATTTTCAAATTTCATTGTTTTAAATACTCAATTGTACTTTATATTGTAAATTGTTTAACCCTTTGAGGGTCGGTCATGTACATGTACATCTTAACAGCCAGGGTCGGTCACCTACTTATACGCCAAAATTCTAGCACTTTCAGGTCTAGTGGAAGAAAGCTGGTAGGCCTACATATGAAAGAATGGGTCTGCATAGTCAGTGCACAATATAAAAAAAAATCCTGCAGCACGTAGTGCATGAGAAAAAACTTAGATCGTGTTTTTGGTTTAAAACAGCAACTTTGCAGTGTATTTTCATATGGTATTTATGGTTGTATTCTTGTTTTCTTGGTCTCATTTGATAGAATGGAAGATACTGTGGTACCTTGAGTTACGAGCAGCTCCTAACTGGAACAATTACATAAGTGTATTTTTGTAAGTGCTTTTGTAAGTGTATTTTTGGGGGTCTGAGACGGATTAATCTAATTTTCATTATTCCTTATGGGAACAAATTCATTCGGTATCAGCACTTGAAGACCCTTCTGGAATGAATTAAGTCCATAACTCGGGGTACCACTGTATATTACAGAAATAGAGATGATTTTAATTAGTTTCATGATGAAAAATACCTTGAAATTGAGCTCAAAGTAGCGGAAATGTTCGATTTTTGCCGATGTTCAAGAGTAAACAAATCACACCATGCATCCAAGACACGTCAACTGGCGAGTCTAATATTCATTTTTACAATAATGCAGTAGTCTGCATAACAGTAAATCTTCTATTTTTTTGTAGGGGAAGGAAGGCGGGGTAGGGGTCGTCCTTGAAAAGGTTGGAGGGAGGGGGTAAAGGAGATTTTGTGGGCGAGGGGCTTGGACTTCCAGCAAGCATGCGTGAGCGTGCTAGATAGGAGTGAATGGAGACGAATGGTATTTGGGACCTGACGATCTGTTGGAGTGTGAGCAGGGTAATATTTAGTGAAGAGATTCAAGAAAACCGGTTATTTTTATATAGCCGGACTTGAGTCCTGGAAACGGGAAGTACAATGCCTGCACTCTAAAGGAGGGGTTTCGGGATATTAGCAGTTTGGAGGGATATGTTGTGTACCTTTATACGTATATGCTTCTAAGCTGTTGTGTTTTGAGCACCTCTGCAAAAACAGTGATTATGTGTGAGTGAGGTGAAAGTGTTGAATGATGATGAAAGTATTTTCTTTTTTGGGATTTTCTTTCTTTTTGAAAGAGATGGGAGATGGCTGACTTGTTAAAAAAAAAAAAATAATTCAAAAGGAAAAGCAAGAGTAATTAATATAAGAGGGGCCTGGAGATGTGGCTAATGAACAGAGAAAATGTTATTTTAGTGCCAGGAATGTCTGTCTTGTTTATTCTGGACCCTATTTTAAAATTGACATCTTTTGAAATTTGTGTGAAATTGGCCAAATTGCCAATTTCTGACCACTTTATTGGGTAGTTGAAATTGGTAAATGGGTGGTTTCTTGTACTCAATCAAGAACAAATGGAGTTCTAGTGAAATTGCTATGATTTTAGTTGACTGGAACATTGGAATTGGCCAAAAATAGGGTTCAAATTGGAGAAAATCGCCGGTGTAAATATCGTCGAAATCTCTAGCTTCATGAGAGCATAATTCCATAGGTTTTCCATCAAATTTAATATTTTTGGTGTCATTACCATTGGGAAAAGATTCACTACCATTTCACAAGAATTTTTTTTTTCTTTTTTTTAATATTTCGACCAAGTGGGAGTATAGGATCGAGGGTCTTGACCCTCAAAGGGTTAAATTGTTCTATTGTAATACTGCAATTTTTATAAAATAATTCAAAACTGTAATTATTCACTACTAAACTTCTCTATTAGACTTATTAAAGCCATATAGTATTACCTATTAATACTCAAGTCTCTTGTACTCACTGTAACTCGCCGAATGACTATTTAATCTGTTATAGCCTAAATAATCTTAAGTTAATTTTAAGTTGGCCCAAAATGCTCTGCATACAAGGGGCCTTTAGCATGTACACTCAACTATTATACTCCCTTGTACAACTATGTATCATGTCAAATTTAAAATATTATTTTTTTTATTATTATTATTATTTTTACCCAAGGAGCAGATGCAATAATGGTGCATTGTATTGATGCAATTTTGCATTACAATATCTCACTGATGTAATACTGAAATGAAACAATACTGCATCAATACAATAACTGCATATTCATTTTACATTTTTTTTTTTTTTAATGGATCTGGCTGAGAAAGAGAATGACAGACTATTGAATTTTCAGCTTAACCCTTTCATTGTCCAGACCCCCAATTTGAAACTTATCTGCAGTGTACAAGAATTTTCAAAAAAATTTGTGTTATTTTTTCTTATAAAATAGCAGAGAAACTTTTTCTGAAGGTAATAAAACAAAAAGTACAAAAATTTACGAAATTACACTCACAAATTTTGCTGCGTCAGCTTCATTTATGCATCGGTGATTTAGCCCACTCTGAGTCCTATTTCAGGCCACTTACATTGTTCCAGTCAACCAAATTCTTAGATATTTTGCTAGTATGTCTTCTGTTTTATTGAATGAGCACAAGAAATTGCTCAATCAACTATTTCAGCTACTAAGTAGTGATCAAATTGGTAATTTGGACAATTTCAAAATAGGGTTTAAAACAAACAATGCAGGCATTCCTGGTACTAAAATAATGCTTCCTTTGTTCATTAGTTATGTTCCCAGGCTTCACACATTAATTCCATTTTGATTTTTTTATTCACACAAAAAAAAAATAGATTTACTGTTATGCAATATTGTAATAATTGTATAAGTAATATCAGCACATTCATGAACACACATTATAACCACCAGCTGACGTGTATGGGACACATGATATTATTTGTTTACTCTTGAACATTGGCAAATATTGAACATTTCTGCTAATTTTAGCTCAATTTCAAGCTATTTTCAGACCTAAAATCAATCAAAATCATTGTTACTGCTGTAATGTATCTTCCATTCTATCAAATGAGACCAAGAAACTGAGAATACAACCATACAAAAATACACCGCAAAGTCACCGTTTTAAATAAAAAACACGGTCATAATTTTTTTCATTATGCACTGCGTACCGCAGTTTTTTTTATGTAGTGTACACTTATCACACAGACCCATTTTCTCATACCTAAGCCCAAATTTACCGCTCACAGCTTATCCGAATGAACTGAGCTAACGGTGTTGTACGACAGCACTAATAACGGCCTCAAAGCCGTAGTACTACTACGGCACAGTCAGCAAAAGGGTTAACAGGATTCAACCATATTATTACTGTGCATTCATGAGGGTGAGCTAGTACTAAACCCTTAGAGGCCATGTCAAGTTAAAGCATGCAAAACAGGCCTGTTACAAAAGCTAACACTAACATCTAGCATCTGTTGCAGAGACAAAGTAAAAGGCTGAAGTAGTCGAGGGAGTGATGGCGAAAGTGGAGGGTGAATATGGTCCCCTTGGTCATCATCTGGAAGGTCTTCAGAGTGGCTGTGGTGATGGTCAGGGTGGAGAGCTTCATCTATGTGGTCATCGTGATGGTGGGAACAGAGACCCTCACCACATGCTACTTCAGAGGAGTCTCTCGATGAGCCACCTGAACCCTGGGCAGAGCAGTAGCCTCCATCTCGTGATCCCTGAAATGAAGCAATCAGTAATTACAGTAAAAAATTCACAAATAACCCACAATTTGAAGAACAAGAAGGATATGATCATGATATACAAAATACCTGGGACAAAGACTTGGTAGGCAATGATAAGTTGTGTATGAGAAATGAATCAAGAAAATGAGGGAACAGATGAAAATAAAAAAAAAACAGCTTCAATGTAAATATGTTTAAAAACTAGAATGAAAGCATATTATATACAGTTGTTCAAAAACATATATATCAAAAGCTACTTCATGCTAGTCACTTCAAATTTAAGAGGCTTAACTAATAACAACTCATCCTTCCACAAACTCAAATGCATAATTACAGATGGGTAATTACTTAAAACGTAATTTTTCACTATAAGTAACTAATTAGCTGTCAAGATGCAAGTTCCCATTACAAAAACTAAAATTTGTCAGAGGTGATAAATAATACAAAAAGATTTATTTCTTCTGTAAATCCCTCAACACGCACAAAAAAGTGGGCCAGATAAGTTAAGACTGCTGGGTAGATGTGCTTGTCATTTATCACCCCTGAATAAAGGTTTCTTTCAGATATACAGAAGTAAGATTAGGGACAAGATAGGCCCCACTCAAGTCACTCAGGTCAGCTCACTGACAGTTTTAAGGATGTGTGTAGAATTTTTAATACTTATTTCCTCTGTTTTTACACAGGAAGATACTACTAGTGAAATTTCAGAAATAATAAAGTATGCTCAACAGAGAGAAAATAAATTATGCCTGATCCAAGACACTAGTGACATTGTTCCCAAACAAATAGATAAATTAAAACCAAACAAATCCCTGGGCCTTGATGAACTGTTCACAAAGGTTTTAAAGGAATGTATGGAGGAACTTAGTGAACTTTTGGCTAGTCTTTTCAACTTATCTCTACAAACTGGCATAGTACCAGATAAGTGGAAAATGTCAAATATGACACCTATCTACAAAGCAGGAGCCAGGGCCTTAGTTTTGAACTACAGAACAATAAGCCTAACCTTCTTAGTGGGAAAAGTGATGGAATTTATAACTGCCAAGGGTATTCAAAGCCACCTTGAAAGACACAAGTTGATTAATGAATCGCAGCACGGTTTTACAAAGGGGTGTTCCTGCCTTATGAATTAACTTTTTTCACAAAGGTATCTGAGGGGGTAGATCATGGTAATAAATATAATATTGTGTACATGGACTTCAGTAAGGCTTCTGATAGTTCCACATTGGAGACCACTGAGGAAAGTCGAGACACACACGTGACACACTTTGAAATTTTTTCCTGGATACAGGCATGGCTGACAGATGGGCAACAGAGTTTGCATAAATAGAGAGAAATCAGAGTAGGGAAGCATCATAAGCAGTGTTCCACTGGGGTCAATGTTGGGCCCTTTATTGTTCATAATTTACATAAACGACATAGGTGAGGGCATAAATAGCGACATAAGCAAGTTTGCCAATGACACCAAAATAGGCCATTGAATTCATTCTGATAAGGACACTAGAGTGCTCCAGGAAAATCTGAATAGACTAATGCAGTGGTCAGAGAAGTGGCAGATACAGTTTAATATAGACAAATGCAAAGGTCTAAGCATTGGAAAGGTGACCATGACACTTACAACTAAATAATATACATCTTAATATCACTGATTGTGAAAAAGATTTAATGAAGGCCAACATGTCACGAGTGCATGCTGAATTCATTAATTGGAAAATTTTATTTCAACATCTTCCTTTACCATAACTCCAGCACTGTACGACCCTGGTGGGTTTAGCACCTAGTTTTGATTATGATAAGAATAATTCACCTTATCTCCAAATCCCATGCACAGGCACATAACTGCATTCTAAAATTTACACATACAAGAGAGGAGATGCCTACTGCTCCAGAACTACGCAAGAAAGGCTGTGACTTCAGAACAAGGTAGAAGACCATGCAAGGCAACTTATTACTTGTCTCAACCTGGCTTTGTTGGACTTACATTTTTTTTAGCAAAGCCTTCAAACTCCAGATAGATGTCAGTGGCTTTGCTCTTTTGTATAAGGCAAATGTTCTTTATATTATATCCCCCACTGAGAACAGTCAAGACACCATAAGATGGGCAGCCACCAGCTGTTATTCTGTACCCTACTCAAGAACATTACTCCATCAACAATTATGCCTAAAATAACTTGCATTTAAAACAAGTTCTCATAACATATGCATTAAAAATCTAGTTATTACTTGATACTGTCCCTTTTATCCTTAATGTTAAATAAAATCACACCTACAAATGGACAATCTAAAAAAAAAAAAAAAAAAGATAAATGATAAAGCAAGACTGTGCATACTTACCTGTCTGAGGATGCTTGCAAGGGTCGATTCTTAGATCTTGGATCCTGCCCCTTAATTTGCCACCCTTCAGATTCACTACCCCTTAGCCTCGTGGGCCTTACTGTACCTTATTGTACCATAGGTCTGTCCCTCTGAGAAGTCTGCAGCCTCTGTCCCCCTAGTCTAGATCCTATTTCTGGTCTTAATGGCCTTGCATTTACTGGGGGTTGAATTTAAGCAATCAATCTTGCAATCTGTCCAGATCCTTTGCAGCCTTTACTTGACCTCATCTGCTTTTCTTCTCCTTAATAATTTTACATTATTAGCAAACAAGGATATTCTGAATCAATCCTATCTGGAATGACACTCACATAAACCGGAAACAGTATTGGTCCTACTACCGATCCTTGTGAAATCCAGCTAGTTACCCTTCCCCATCCCGATGTCTCAATCTTGCCAGTCACTCCTTGTTTCCTTCCCTTAAATTACTCTCTGATCCACCAGAGTTCATTTCCTAATATTCCTCCCTGAATCTCAAGTTCTTGGCCATGCCTTTTGTTGAGTACAGTATCAAATGACTTCTTGCAGACTAAAAAATGCAATCCACCCAACCCTCTATCTTGTCACATATCAGTTACTTTATTATAAAAATCCAACAAGTTAGTATCACATGATCTGCCATCTCTAAACCCATAATGGTTATTGTTTATGAAACAAACTTTCAGTAGAAAGTTCTTAAATATATAATACTTGTGCAAATGACAAAGATAAGATAATATTTAAACCTAATTTAGTCTTGTCAAAATTACTAAGCTAAAGGTGTATTTGCATACGATTAAGTGAGCAAAGATTACCAAAACAATGAAATTCAACACCATAAGAAAAATTTCTTATTATAAAATTCCATCCTGGGTTACATTATAGCTCAAATCATTTTTTTCACCCACCTGTGAGCATCTGGATACAAGGGAATCTGTTGAAGCTGTGCACTCTAGTGGGTGTGGAGAATTGTGGTGCTGACGATGGTGATGAATGTGGTGGTGGTCAAGTTGGTGTAGCTGGTGGTGGTGGTGATGGTGGTAAGGATCAGGGCTAGAATCACAACTTTCCTTCTCCTCGCTGCTTCCACGTTCACTACCTATATCACTTGCCTCCATACTTCCCCACTCGCTACTGCACCTTCCCATAACTCCAGTCTGATCAGGAGGCAAATGACCATTACCTAGAGGAGTACCTAAATGGGAACTATTTAAAGGAGGCCCTAAATGAGATCCACCTCGACAGAAGACTTCACTGCTAACCTGTGGGAACAGTGTTGAAATTAAATTGTAACTGCAAATTCATTATATACACATAAAAAATTTAAATATTAAATACCATATTAATGCTAAATGCTAAGTACACGTAAGACTACCATGCAGTACACATTACTAAATTTAAAACTGATGATAAAGCAATAAAGATAGTCGAAATCCTAAAATTTAAGAGATTTATTCAGATCCACCACAACTTTAATACTGCTATACTTAAAAATCATCTTTTTTTTTCGTAATAGGAGAGGGGAAATTGCTACACACCACTCTATTTTTCTGCTGCCCAAAGAGGGCAGTTCAGTCACTCACTTGATGCTCATGGCTTTACTGGCTGAGCCTGTATTTATTTACTAGTGGTAATAGTGATAACACAAATTTTAAATAGGTATTTACATCAATTTTCAACTTAACACAGTGATATGGCTACTACAGTGGACCCCCGGTATAGGAAGGCATCGGTATATGTTAAATCCAGTGTACGATACATTATAACACAAAAAATTTGCCTCGGTTCATGTTAAAAAACCCGGTATACGCGATTCGTCCAAGACGCGTCCACATGTGGCCTGAACTGCCACGTGCGTGCCAGTGTTTACAAGTGAGCCAGCCAGTGTGCTAGCATCTAAGCATACATTCGGTACATTCCATATTATCACAACGTTTTTGCTGCTTGTTTCTGCAAAATAAGTCACCATGGGCCCCAAGAAAGCTTCACCATGGGCCCCAAGAAAGCTTCTAGTGCCAACCCTTCGAGAAAAAGGGTGCTAATAACTATTGAAATGAAGAAAGAGATAATTGAAAAGTACGAGAGTGGAGTGCGTGTGTCGGAGCTGGCCAGGTTGTATATGAAACCCCAATCAACCATCGTTACTATAGTGGCCAGGAAAACGGCAACAAGGAAGCTGTTCTTGCAAAAGGTGCAACTGTGATTACGAAACAGCAACCGCAAGTGTTAGAAGATGTTGAGAGACTGTTATTGGTGTGGATAAATGAAAAACAGATAGCAGGAGATAGCATCTCTCAAGCGATCATTTGTGAAAAGGCTAGGGAGTTGCATGACGATTTGGTAAAGAAATTGCCTGCAACTAGTGCTGATGTGAGTGAATTTAAGGCCAGCAAAGGTTGGTTTGAAAGATTTAAGATTCGTAGTGGCATACATAGTGTGATTAGGCATGGTGAGGCTGCCAGTTCGGACCAAAAAGCAGCTGAAACATATGTGAAGGAATTCAAGGATTACATAGACAGTGAAGACTTGAAACCTGAACAAGTGTTTAATTGCGATGAAACAGGCCTGTTTTGGAAGAAATTGCCAAGCAGGAGGAAAAGGCACTCCCAGGACATAAGCCTATGAAAGACAGGCTTACTCTTTTATTCTGTGCTAACGCTAGTGGTGATTGCAAAGTGAAGCCTTTATTGGTGTATCACTCAGAAATTCCCAGAGCATTCAGGCAAAAGAATGTCCTCAAGGCTAATTTGTGTGTGCTGTGAAGGGCAAACAGTAAGGCATGGGTCCCTAGGGACTTTTTCTATGACTGGTTACACCATGCATTTGCCCCCACTGTGAAAAATTACCTAATTGAAAAGAAATTAGACCTTAAGTGCCTCCTGGTATTAGACAATGCCCCTGGTCATCCTTCAGACTTGGCAGAGTGACTTTCTATGGACAAGAGCTTCATTAAGGTCAAGTTTTTGCCTTCTAATACCAATCCTCTCCTGCAGCCCATGGACCAGCAGGTCATTTCCAACTTCAAGAAACTGTACACAAAAGCTATGTTTCAAAAGTGCTTTGAAGTGACCACTGACACTCGATTGAATCTAAAAGAGTTTTGGAAGGATCACTTTAATATCCTCAATTGTATAAACCTTATATGTGACTTTGTTAATGGTCCAAGTCGAACCGAAACGTCGTCGTAAGCTTCTCTCTTTTATGTGCGGGTTATTTGTGTATCGTTCCAGTCACGGTATTGTGCCTTTTTGTTATTTATTTATTTACTTATAGGCAAGGCTTGGGAGGAAGTGACTAAGAGGACCTTGAACTCTGCTTGGAAAAAAATGTGGCCAGAATGTGTAGACAAAAGGGATTTTGAAGGATTTGAGACTAACCCTGAGAAGTGTATGCCAGTTGAGGAATCCATTGTGGCATTGGGGAAGTCCTTGGGGTTGGAGGTTAGTGGGGAGGATGTGGAAGAGTTGGTGGAGGAGGACAATGATGAACTAACCACTGATGAGCTACTAGATCATCTTCAACAGTAAGAGGCCAGACCTGAGGAAACTGCTTTGGAGGAGGGGATAGAGAATCTGAGGAAGTTGCCTACTTCAAAGATTAAGGAAATGTGTGCAATGTGGCTTAAAGTGCAAACCTTTTTTGATGAATATCACCCTGACACAGCCACTGCAAGCCGTTTTGGCAACCTGCATATGTTCACATAGTGACAATATTGTGAAAACTTTAGAAAGTCTAATGGAAGAGAGGTACAGGCCCTCTATGGACAGATATGTTGTGCGACAAAAGTCCAGTGACTCTCAGCTGGTCTAGTGCATTAAAGAAGAAGGAAGTAACCCCGAAAAGGACTTGCTACCCTCAAGTCCTAATAGAAGGGGATTCCCTCTAAACACTAAAACCATTCAACACTTCCCTCGCCCATCCCATCTATCAACACCAGATCTTCAATAAAGGTACATGTCAGTTTGTGTGTATTAAAATTAATATTTCACGTGGTAAAAAAAAAATTTTTTTCATACTTTTGGGTGTCTTGCACGGATTAATTTGATTTCCATTATTTCTTATGGGGAAAATTGATTCGGTTTGTGATAATTTTGGTTTACGATGAGCTCTCAGGAACGGATTAATATTGCAAACCGGGGGTCCACTGTACCTGGAGGTTATTCCGGGGATCAATGCCCCCGTGGCCCAGTCTACGACCAGGCCTCCCGGTGAATCAGGGCCTGATCAACCAGGCTGTTACTGCTGGCCGCACGTAGTCCAACGTACGAACCACAGCCCAGCTGATTCAGTACTGACTTTAGGTATCTGTCCAGCTCCCTCTTGAAGGCAGCTGGGAGGCTGTTGAAGTCTTGAGCCCCAAACACTTATGGTGTTTTCTCTTAGTGTACCAATGGCACCCCTACTTTTAATTGGGGGTATTTTTCATCACCTGCCCAGTCTTTTACTTTCGTAGGGAGTGATTTCTGTGTGCAGATATGGGACCATTCCTTCTAGGATTTTCCAAGTGTAGATTATGATATCTCTCTCTCTCTCCTGTGTTCCGAGTACAAGTCAAGTGCTTCCAAGCATTCCCAGTAGTTCATGTGCTTGATAGAACTTATACCTGTAGTAAAGGTTCTCTGTACACTCTCTAGATCTGCAATTTCACCTCCTGCTTTGAACGGAGATGTTAATGTACAGCAGTATTCCAGTCTAGAGAGGACAAGTGATTTGAAAAGGATCATCACTGGCTTGGCATCTCTCGTTTTGAACGTTCTCATTATCCATCCTATCATTTTCTTTGCACTTGTGATCATGGTACTGTTGTGATCCTTGAAAGTAAGATCCTCAGACATTACTACTCCCAGGTCCCTTACATAACATAATTTTCTACTTGTTGAGAATATTGGTGTAGTTATCAACATCATGAGTTTGAAATGAGCATCAAGTCTCAATATCAGCAGTTAAACACTAAAAAATACACTGAAGAGAATAAGACAGAATTACTAAATAAACTGTAGAGTGAGGTACAGTGGACCCTCAGTTAAACGCCTACATCGGATAGCGCCAAAATCTGATAACGCCTCGCTTTGGCATAAAAAAATTGGCTCGGATAACACCTAAAAACTAGGTTAGGAGCTTTTGTCCCGAACGTGTCCACTCGGCACCCTGAGCAGGCCCAGCCAGTCACCCCATCTACCAGCCAGTGTGCCACTGTTTACAAGCCACTGAAGATAGTTCCACGCGTACATGCGATATATTTTGTATTATTTCATTGTTTTTAGTGCTTGTAACTGCTAAATAAGCCACCATGGGCCCAAAGAAAGCTTCTAGTGCCAACCCTGTGGCAAAAAGGGTGAAGTGTACTATCGAATTGAAAAAGGAGATAATAGAAAAGTACGAGAGTTGAGTGTGTATCTTGGAGTCGGAAAAGTTATACGACAAACCCCATTCAACCATCACTATCTTGCACAACAAAAAGGCAATCAAGGAAGCTGTTGTTGCAAAAGGTGCAAGTGTGATTACAAAACAGAGATCGCAAATACTCGAAGATGTGGAGAGACCGTTGTTGGTGTGGATAAACGAGAAACAATTATCAGGAGATGGTGTTTCACAGTCAATCAAATGTGAAAAGGCAAGGTAGTTGCATGAGGATCTCGTTAAGAAAATGCCTCCAAATAGTGCTGCTGTTGATGAATTTAAGACAAGCAAAGGCTGGTTTGAGAGATTTAAGAATCGTAGTGGCATACACAGTGTGATAAGGCATGGTGAGGCTGCCAGTTCTGACAAAAAAGCAACTGAAAAATATGTGCAGGACTTGAAGGAGTACATAGACACTGAAAAATTAAAACCCCAACAAGTGTTTAACTGTGACGAAACAGGCCTGTTTTGGAAGAAAATGCCAAACAGGACCTACATTACTCAGGAGGAAAAAGCACTCCCAGGACACAAGCCTATGAAAGACAGACTAACTCTAATGTTGTGTAGTAATGCTAGTGGGGATTGCAAAGTGAAGCCTTTACTCGTGTATCACTCTGAAACTCCTAGTGTGTTCAAGAAAAACAGTACTGTCAAGACTAAATTGTGTGTGATGTGGAGAGCAAACAGTAAGGCATGGGTCACTAGAGACATGTTTACTGACTGGTTCTATGACATGTTTGGCCCCACTGTGAAACAGTACCTCCTGGAAAATAAATTGGAACTCAAGTGCCTCCTGGTAATGGACAATGCTCCTACTCATCCACACGACTTGCAAGAGCAAATTGTGGGAGAGTTGAGCTTC